CATTAACAGATGTCTTTTACATATATTTCTATTTAAAATTTGGCCTAGCAGGGCACTTATTATTGTTAGAACTTAGACTGTTAGACTGATCTGCCACAAGGAGAAATGACTTAAAACATTTGCCAAAGATGGTATATTTTCTTGGATATTATAAAGCATTGGTTCGTGCTGGAAAAGGACTGGGTACAGTCAAGTCCTCCTTTTGACACAGTAGACCAGTGTGTACAGTCCATAATCGCATCCTTAAATGAACTGATGGGGAATAACAAACATGATGATAATAATAGGGGTATCCTGGGGTCTTCTCATGGCAGCACTGAAGTCTGTTTGTTATCCAGTGTGAGAGTTGGCAGGAAAGTATATTGACACAAAGAAGTGTTGATTGCATTTCCAAACTCTATTCTGTCTTGCCAAGGAAGCAGAATAGGGCTCTGTCTGCATAAGACATGGGGGGGGGGAAGAATGAGGTGAAGATTATCATTCATTTCAGCATCTGATAGAAGTTCTAGTTGATAGAAGGTCAGTTATCTGATCCATGAGATTCAGGGTAAGAGAGTTGGTACCAAAAGAGCTATACTCTGCCACGTTTGTACCCTCGTTCTCTTGCTATTGATGACAGATGAAGCAGGGTGGGGAGAAGAAAGGGAAGAGGTTTTCTATATATATACCTTTTGCTCATCTAACTTCTCCAGCCACTGAAGAGAAATAGGACAGAGAAGAGACCTTCTTCTCCATTCTCTTTTGAACCCCATTATCTTGCAATGAAGCAGCAGTCAGATAAGGAGATCAGCAGGGGAATGTTTATCAAAATAGTAAATAAAGCTGGGGGGGGGGGCATCCAGGAAAAGGGCCTGAATGGTTGTTTGGCTGAAACACAGAATTCATACACTTGAAGCTGATACATTTTTTTGTAGATCTAGCTTGTATATGTTTAAGTGTGGAAAATCTGGATATTACTTGCCATCAAAAAGAGACAAGCGTATGCTTGTCACCATTTCTTTATTTAAATCTGTCCAATGTTTGATTAGAAACAGTTTCAACTGAGATAAGTGGGACTTTTTTCCTCTAAATTGTTGATGCAATTGTGTGTATTTATTCAAAATGATTTTTCACTGTAACACAAATATTCCCATCCTATTTATATCTAATCGGAGATAAGCCCCAGTTTAGTCAATGAGATATGCTTCCAATAAATAAGGAAACATTTCAGCTCTGTTTGCTTTACTATTATATGGATTATTATTTTGGTAATTGGGCAATGTTAGCAAACTTCAGTCATAATGAAATTTATGAACAGATGACAACGTCCATAAAATGTAGCATTTGAAACTGACTCAAATCTGCAGTGGAGCGAATGGGAATAAAAGACCTGCAATGATAGTGAAAGTATTAGCTCAAAAAAAGAGTATTTGAGAAAAAATTCTAATGGTATGAAATCACTGATACCATGATCAAGATTATTTCTGAAGATACAGCACGGAATTCAATTTACTTCATTTTTTAAAAAATACAGTATCTAGGGTCATCATTCACAAGAGATTATAGGACATTATGTATAAAATTATAAAAACAAATGCAATGCATTACAATAAAATGTTTGGCTCTAAGATCTGCCAATATAAAAATACAGATAGTCCTTGACTTATGGCCACAATTGAGCCCAAAAGTTTTGTTGCTAAGTGAGACATTTATAAGGTTTTGCCCTATTTTACGACCTTTCCTGCCACAGTTGTTAAGTGAATCACTGCAGCTGTTAAGTTAGTAGAACAGTTGTTAAGTGAATCTGGCTTATCCATTAACTTTGCTTATCAGAAGGTCACAAAAGGGACTCACATGATTACGGACACTGCAGCCATCATAAATATGACTCAGTTGCCAAGTGTCTGAATTTTGATCACGTGACTATAGGGATGCTGCAATGGTTGTGTGAAAACCAATCATGTCACTTTTTTCAGTGTCATTGTAACTTCAAAGGTCACTAAATGAACTGTTATAAGTCGAGGATTACCTGCATAAGCTAGTATTAATCGTATGACAGTATGTGTACGGCTCACTGAATGACAAAGTAGCCAAAGTAGTAGGTGTTTCACTTACTATAAGTTTAAAATAATTAAAATAAATTATTGATTTATTTAATAAATACACTATAAAGAGCTGTTATCATTATCCAGTTCAAATGCAATTCATTTTATAACCCATATAGTCAGTTAGTGCCAAATAAGGGTGAATGCACAATTAAGACCTTTCAGCTTAATATCTATGTTTCTTCAAAATGAATGCTAATTTATTCTGTTTGCCATTAAATGTGCAAGATTAGAACATTTTGCTGCTCTTAACAAACTCTTCCTGCTGCACACACACACAAAAATAACAGCATTCTAAGAGGGTCTAAAAAGATAGTTTTCTTATGCAAATTCCATATAAAGAATGGTAGCTGTATAAAATCATGAATTCATTATAACAGTACTTACACAAATGAACCTATTGTATTTTATAACAGCAAACAAAATAAAAATCAAGCATTGAAATGTCTAAAATGCAATCCCATGTTTATTCAGAAATGAATCTCACTGGATTCTGTGAGCTTCCTAGTAAAAATATCTTGTATTTGAGTTTCAGAATTTTTTTAGATGATTGAAATCACTTCTTTATTTAGTTTGCTTTTTGGCTGGTATATAATAAAAGTAATTTAGACCACAACCCTATTTATACTTGTCTAGAAGTAAGTCTCATTGAATCCACTGGAAATTATTCACAATATAAAAAATACATATATATTAAAGTGTTGCTCCTGATTTATAATATTAATAAACAATGCTGTCAAACTTAATGGTGATTAACTTTCCAAGATTTATTTTTAAAAAGACACTCTACTCATTTCTGCACATAGTTTCCAAGTATGCTTTCAAACGGTAATTCAATCTATTAAAATAGAATAATCTGATTTTTAAAGTATGTCATAATTAAAAATCTGCAATTGTGTTACTTTGACAACTGAATTATGAAAAAAGGCTTACCTCCTAATAATACATACCTGGAAAGTATTAAAATCAATGTAGTTTAGAGTAGATAGTCCTAAGATTGCATCATAAATATTTCTATCTGAAGCCTGAATACAAGACAGATGCAGTTTTAAATATTATTCAGATGTATGCTTATACTGAAATATTGTAGTACAAAGAAGCAGCAAAGGAAACTCCAAATGACATGTGGAATTTAAGTAATTTATTCTGTTTTAAAATGAAACTGCCCATTTAGAATAAGTTTAATGTGTGGTAGACCATATGCATAAAACCAGAAATTAAACTGATTGTGTTTTGACAACTCGCTTGGTTAAAAATGTAATTATCAAAAGGGTGGTCTGGTATGTACCATTGGGATGGTACATACAGTACATATTCAGGTAATAATGAAAGTTAATTGAAAAAGTCATTTTGAAAGGAGAGATGTGGCACTCAGTACTGTCTTCCTTACATGTTGGACTACAGTTCTCATCAAGCCAAGCAAAGATTTCCAATGATATTTTACTTTGGAGAAACAAAGAATAGGAGGCATCAGTTGAATAAAAATTCCCGTGCAAATCATTGACTGAATTGATATACAACTCTGAATCAGGACACTCAAAGTAAAGTTGTAATATTTATGGGGATAAGTTCGCTAACTTAAGGGCCCCAAAACTGAAGCTTTTTTTAAACATTGACACAAAAGTTACTTGCGAGTCAGAAATGAAGAATCTGGTTATACCATTAAACAAATGTGTTAAATAAACTTCATAGTGAAGCATTACTGAAAACATTTTACTTTGGCTACTTAGTTGCCAGTTTTACATTAAGTGAAACACCAGTATTTCATTTTATTACTGGATATGTAATATTTTTTGCAAGATATATTTAGGAAGGTACTGGGTAATGTCTGCAATGCCTAAAATGTTGCAGGGCAAAAAAGTATTTGGAGTGCTCTATGTCAGAAGTCCCCAACCTTTTGGGCACCAGGGACCGGTTCTGTGGAGAAAGGTTTTTCCACAAACCAGAGAATGCGTGGTTTTGTGTGCTGCCTGCATCCCACGGATGGGGCTTTGCTTGTTTATGCAGACCGGTTGCTGGCATGCTGCAGCCGGTACTGGCCCACGGACCAGGGGTTGGGGACCCCTGCTCTATGTGGTCTGCAAGCAGCTTGAGAGGCCCACTCTAAACTAGACTGTCATGGGCTAGCTTGGACATAAGCATTGTTCAGTACTCATGGTTAAAACCAGTTATAGCTTTTAATGCAGCATGTGAACACCGTATTTTAAATCAGCATTCCCAATCAGTTTCCCTTGAAAGGTGTTAAAAGAAATAGCTTCCTTTAAAGACCAGAGATGAGTAATTATATGGTCAGAACTCTGAAATGCCATACCAGCGTGAACAATGGTAGGGTTATCTGGGAAATCATAAAAATGGGAAACTTACAGATGACAAGGACACTAATCAGGGAAGGCCAATTTATTTACTGAAAGGGGGGGGGGCAGCTAAAGAACAAGATAAAACTATCCCAGTGTTTCAATCCCTGCATGCTTCCAGGGAACCTGCGGAATTCCAGTAAAGTCATTGGTGATTTATTGTTGAATAAATACCATTGCTGCCCACAATACAAAGCTATTCCCAGAGTACAGATGTTCACACTCCAATCCAGGTCAAATTGCTAGTAACGTCATAGAAACAATTCACATACTGATTTTGGCAAAAGATGGAATACCTGTTTCCAGAATGTTTTTCTACTACAGTGTCTAATTTATATCCCTGGAATCTCCTGGTAGCTTTCCATGGGTTCAGCTTTTGAAAAACAGGCAAGGTTGGCTAACCGCTGCCATCCAGCAGTACAAGGCAAACGGGCAGAGCTGTCAAAGCGGAACCGAGTCTTGACGTGCCTTCCGCTTCCTGCTTTTTCTGTCGCTGGTGGCCGCGCTAGGATAAGAAGGAAGCCGCCATTGGTCGAGAAAGGCGTCTCCGCCTCCTGCTCAGTCTTCCCGATAGGCTTGCGGCAAGCACGGTGGAGAGTGGCTGTAATGGCCGAGCCGCATCCTCCTCCAATGAGGGGGCTTCGAGAAGCGCTGGAGGCTCATCTGCAGGGCCTCGGCATCCAAGCACTCAGTGTGGAACATCCGGCAGTGAGTGAAGCCGCGAAATGAAGCGTTCTGGGGAGGGGGGCCGGCAACGGCCGATAGAGAAGCCGCTGTGCGGGGAAAGGCAGCTGCGCCTGGGACGTGGCTGATCAATCCTTTTCTATCACTTCCTTTTTCCATAAGTGGAGATTAATTTACTACCAAGTCGATGCACGTGAAGCAAGTCCGCCTGAGTTAATGGAACTTACTTCTCTGAAATAAGTATAAAGTTGCAAGCTTGTTAGTTGTATCTGCTCAACACTAGGCAGAGAGCTATCTGCTAGATGGCAGCGAAGTGATACAGAAAACATTCGGGGTTTAAAGCCCAAGTATAGAAGACCTGCATAACAACATGTTAACATGCTGCCATATCTATGTCACTGATCATGTTGTCCTAGAGCACAATAAATATAATATGGCTTATTTGTATTTAATAAACCATGGTCTATGTGAAGGATTAGCCTCACTGAGGGATTTGAGCCATGATGTCAGCTGATCGTCCCAATAAGTCAAACATATTCTTTCCTGATGTTTTTCAGTATAAATATTTGTTAATGTTATAACAATTAAAACAATAAATGGGCTAATTTTAAAATGCTAAGAAAAATATTATTTTGGATATGCTCAGAGGCTTCCTGATTTCCTTTAAATGGCTGCATTTCATCTATGTAATGTTAAACTGTGAAAGCTGTGGGATATTAACCTGAGCAGGTGAAAGGATTTTAACTTTTTAAAAAACCAAAAGAATTTAGTTATGTAAGCCAATCTGATTATCCTGTTGAAAATGTTGCAGCCAAATTTCAGCAATGTAATTTTTGGGACTGAAAAGATGGGCTCAAGAATGTATTTGCTTATTCTGGATTACATGATTAGAATGTATGTGGATTTCTCAGGTAGTAAATTGAAATGTGCAGGTTCATTTCACTGGCCTGAAACTGCTGCAAAGTGCAATTTAAATGCAGTTTTAAAAACCTGTAGCAGCTATATTCAAAGAAGAGCCACACTTTTTCAATTCTCTCTTCTAGGTATTCACAGTTGAAGAAATGATGCCTTATGTACAACATTTAAATGGAGCTCACAGCAAAAACCTTTTCCTTAAAGATAAGAGGAAAAAAGGCTTTTGGCTGGTGACAGTTCTGCACGATCGACAAATCAATTTAAATGATTTGGCTAAGAAACTGGGTGTTGGAAGTGGGAACCTGCGCTTTGCTGATGAAGCAGCCCTGTTGGATAAGCTGAAAGTTGGCCAAGGATGTGCAACCCCCTTAGCTCTTTTCTGTGATCAGGGAAATGTGAACTTTGTTTTGGATGCTGGCTTTCTGGAAGGAGGTCATGATAGGCTTTATTTTCATCCAATGACCAATGCAGCAACTATGGGCCTGCACCCAGACGACTTCCTAAAATTTCTGAAGTCCACAGGACATGAACCAATAATTGTGCATTTTGATGAAAGCCACAAGTAGCTTTGTAACCCAATAGAGTAACTGGGTTGGAACTTGGAACTTCTTTAACACACATAATGAAACTCTGCATTCGGAAAGGTTTCTAGGGTAGAAGTCATCATTGGAAAATCATGGGAGTAAATCTCCACTCTTTTTAGTACATTTAGTGCTGATATTTATGACTCATTCATTCATGATTTATAAGATTAGTAAAACGCGCTATTTGTGCACTATACTTTGCTTCATTTTTTACTTGTTTCCTTTTAATTTTTTTAAAATTTAAATTGTAATTTTTATGTATTTTATTTTATTGTGTATGCCATTCAGAATCACTATGTGACATGGGTAGCTATACAAATACGATAAAATAAACTTAACCCAGCATTCTTTCCCAAGAGAGAAGTGACCCCAGTCCCAATCATGTGCAGTGTTGCTCCACCTACTTTGTGTCATCATTGTGGCTCTAATCCTTCCAAAAGTATCAACGGTGGTCCCTAAAGGTACCAAAGTGTACCAAAAGCTATAATAGGTCTTTTTCCAATATAAAGTTTAGGAAAACTCATTAAAGTGCAAAGTATGCAACATGACTGTTCTTCTGAAGGGCCAAACAAGGTTATTTCAAAATAAAGAGAAAGTTGACAGTTATTTTGTTTCAAATTTTAATAACATAAGTAGTGTACAATGGCAAACATTACAAAACTCCTTAATAGGTATAAGAAAAGGAAGTTACAACTTTAAATAACAGTTTCTGTATAACAGTGTTTAGTTTGTGTCACAGCGACATGCTGTTTTTCCTTTTAAGGCAGTTTCATTCTGAACAATGTTTTGAGTTATACACAATACAATAAGAGTTTACAGATAACTTATATTGGCCCCATGTTGGAGCTGTGCCATCTCTCAAAATACAAGAATTTTAAGAAATAATGCATTCTGGAAAGAATGTAGCTTTAGCAATCAACAGCAATGGAGTGGGAATATTTTCATTGTATTACAGCAAATTTGCAAATTTTATTTTGTAGCTGCTGAATACTGTTGTGTATAAAGAAAAAGCCCTTGCATTTAATCCTAAAGGTGATGGATTTTAAAGTGACACATAAATTGACACTGTTACAGAGTTATATTTTTTAAAAAATATTTTATGAACTATATTAATGAAAATTGGGACAAAGAACTATGGCATACATTTTAATTTCTTTAGATTAAAAATTTGTGAAATCTAGAGAGATAAGGAAAGCCAGTTATATTCAAATGTACTTTGAAAAGAAAAGCTATAAACAAACAAGGCTTTGGTTTTCCTGAAGAATACCTGTATCAAAGTTAATTTCTCTTAAGTTATCAGCAGAAAATCATCTGGCTTTTCACAAAATACATTTTTTAAAGAGAGCTATGGAGACAAATTACACATAGTTTACAAATCTCAAACTCCCTGTCCAGAATTATCAGTGTTAGGCTTCATTAAAACAAGATGGTAGTTTGTTTTAGCTGTGAATCATGCCTAAATATGCACATATAACTTTGTAATACTAAACCAAATCTACTGCCAAAATTGGATCATTAAAAAAGGCATAATCTATTATTAATTTTTCCTAGGCAAGCCTCACATGAATAATATTATGCTCTTGGTCATCTTCATTATACCAGAAGCGTCACTTGTACTACTTAAAACTATGTAGAAAAGTTTGTACCTAAATCCAAGTACAAAACTGTATGAATCACATACAAAACTGAAAAATCAAGAAAAATAGGTACAATCAGAAATAAGTGCTTGAAAAGCAGGTGATTGTTTCCCAAAACTGCAAACATTTTGAAGGAATGCATACAAAACAGTAGTTTATTTGATAAATATTCAGATGTACAAGATTAGAACCATAAATCTGCCCAATGTTGAGAGTTTTCACATTCCCATATTTCCATATCTGCAAGTAACAATAGTGGTCACCTAAGATGGAACAGCACAACTGAAGAAACCCTTCATTAGTGTAGTTTTTTATAAAGAGGCTTGCATTCAAATCTTTTCAGTAACACACAGCTTTTTATTCAACTAACCTAGATTTAACCTGATTTAGTACAACTGCTTTGGTATTTTCATGGAACTAGTTTTGAAAATTGTCAAATGCTTATTAGATACATCTCTTCCATTAAATTTTTGATTGTTAATTAATTTTAGCTTTAATATGAATTTCTTTTATGTTTTGTATTTTTTAAAAAAAATGATAGCTGTCTTAACTTTCTTGAGCAGGCTGAGTATAAATCAAATATATAATAAATAGTAATAATGATAGTCAATGTGAGGATCTCTGGATAGACATTTCATCAATAAATAAAAATGAAAGTATCTCTCATTGCTGTTCACAGTGTAAAACAGCCACTGCAAATAATCATGTGATTTTGCTCTTGGCCATCTCAATCTATCCACATTAAGTGTAATGTCATTCTTATCTAAATATACAATGCTATCTGGGAAGCATAAACTTTAAGATTTTTTTATTCAAATTACTTTTTTCCAATAGGCTGAAATTATATGAATTGTATGAAAGATTTCCTGCCCTATATTTCCATTTTCATATTTCATTTTCTGAGAAATGAAGGTGGTCACAAGTTCATTCTACTCTGGCTACTATGTTCATCCTTCTACAATTATTTTATTAATTTTCAGATTGTTCAGTGTACCCAATACTTTATACTTATAAGATCAATTTCAGTGATTCCATTTTTTCCTCATCAAAGATCTTATATAGGGATATTTATATAGATTTTTCTCTCCATACACTCATACTGGATTCACATTTAATACTAAAATAAGAAAACTTGTGTACTTATAGATATTAGCTGACTTGGATGATAAGATGTGGTACAGTTTGTTGTGAAATTTTCATATATCTAAGGTAAGTTTTTTTCCCCACATTAAAATCGGGGAGAGCCTATCATACACCATAAATTTTATGGTTGCAATTGTGCAACATACTAACCCATTTTATTGAATTACTCCAGTTGTTCAGGTATGCAGTGTAATGCACTATCAATGCACTTATACACTATTGCTGGATGTGTACAAGACAGAATCTATATCATTGTGGGTTGTGTGAACCCAATCTTTTAATTTTTTTCTGTTAAATCCCAATTAGAAATTGATTATGGCTTAATTTGTTACATTGATCAGGAATAAATCTACCCAGGCACAGCTGTTTCAAGAGTATACATTGTATTGCTCCCAAACCAGGATGTCTAGTTGTTCTGCTTAGCTAACCCCTGTGGCTCTGTAAGTTGCTTTTCATTTGGCACAGAAAAGGGCAGAATTTATTTTTATCTAACAGAAATAACATTGATTGTCAGCAAAATCCTGGTGAGTATAATTATCATTTTTTAAAAAATATATACAATGTATAGGCAATGGATCTGATTCAACCAAGATATTGGAACTCTACTTGTGACTAATTTGGCTGAGATACAAATAATGAGATTAAAGATATACATATATTAAGATTAAATAAATCATTTAAGGTTAAATATGATACATATCATGGAAATATTAATAATTTAGTGGTTTGTAAGAAAATAAACTTTGAAAATTTAATAGAAACCAGAAACCCTTGTACATCTGCAAAGATTAACCAAATCTAATTTCCTGTATTGTTCGCATATAAATATTAAAGTATCAACTATTTTAATCAATCTTAATGCATAAGAAACAAAAATATGATAGTCATTAAAACAGCTTGAAAAATGTTCATGATGGATTTTCCTTATAAACATTTTCTAAGCCATTATTTATCTCAAAATATCAAATTAAAAATATACATTAAATATGTAAAATGAGACAATTTATTTTGGATGGTTCCTGTTGAAAACAAAATCAATTTCATCCAACAAATCTTCAGAAATAGTTTTTAGCATCTTTTTGTCCCCTCAAAATGAGTATATTTTTTGTGACACAAACTATATGGAAAAGATTAATTAATCTGAGGGTTTATTAAATATTCAATTATGTTTTGAGGTACCTATTCGTCTTGCCATATACATCAAAATAATCAGCAGTTTTGTTTTCCCAAGAGTAACATCATGCACACCAATAAGACTGAAGTGACAAGATGCTTGTGGAGGTATTTTTCCTACCTGTATTTACAACAATTTCCACAATCTACAACAGTCTTATTTTAGATTTACAGAACTAAATGCTAGCAGAGCAGAAGTAGTAAGCAACTGGTGACCATGTTTATAAAGGAACTAGAACATAGTAATTGTATTCCTGAAGTAGTTCTTGAGACTGCACAAACCTTGGTCCTTGGAGGGATGAAAATTCTCTTTTAGAGCATAACAGTGCAATGTGCAACATAGTCTGTCTTTTAAAAAAAAGCATCAGCAGCTGCTGGTACAATTCCTTGATTCAAGGAAAGAAGATGTGCATTTCTTGACTGCTCTATTCATGAAGGACTGTAAAATTTTTGATTTTTTTTTTTTTAAAAAAAAACATGATTCCTATAGCTGGAGACCTTGTTACTTCAGAAATAAAGGCTTCATACTGAGATACTGAAGGACACTTTTCTCTCTGTGTTCAATTTAAAAGCAGAAAGAGAAGAGAAAATGAAAGGAAAGCTTAGCTCTAGAATATATCTAAAAATGTGCTACTAAAAGAACTAGCAAGATGCAACAGTAGCAGTTTAAGCAGCAACAAGAAGGAAAAGGAAAAATAACCTATATTAAAAAATATATGCATCTGGTGGTAAGAAAGTAAAATATTGTATTGGGTTAAATTACAAAAACTGAATCATGTTGAATCTGACTTTATATAGGATTGCAACCTATACCATTTGATTTTCTTTGCCTATACATGCATCATATGCAAAGCTGGACATGCTGCAGTTCTGTCTAAAAATACAATAACTGGCAATACTAGAAGTTTCTAGTTCCTGGAATAGCAGAAACATACTGAAAATGTGTTTTTTGGGAACCATAATAAGGAATGTCCTGAATATTCCTAACTTCTACTACATAGTATGATCAGAATTATGCAAAAAATAAAAATAAAAACGTAAAACAGCAGGCACTTCAAGTAAGAGGCAATCTGCTTACAAAATACCAACTAGAGAATTCTGCTGTTCTTGGTACAGAATCTGACTTGCCCTGATAAGTTGCTATCTCAATGAAATGTAATGGGTACCAAAGTATTTAGACAAAATGCAGCAGCATCACTCAGAATAGTTGAACATAATAATAATAAGCATGAGCCCTGCTC